CACACTCTCTTTCCAATAAGCAAAGGCAGGTGATGACTCTAAGGTTGCTTTTCAGAGGAACTTTATTCTTTGATTCTTTTTCATGTTGAGCGGGTGCACCCTTGACTAGGATCTCTGTGTCCAGGCAACCATCTCCTGAAATTTTCATGATCCCCAATGCCAGTAAAGATTCTTCTCTATGTAGGCAGCATGTATGAGAATCATTTGTCTTGAACAAAGGATGTGTGCAGCAAGCACTCTTAGATATGCCTTCTCCCTTGTTCTCTGAATTTCAGACATCACTACCTCTACTTTCTCCAAGAAGTTAGAGTTATTACTTCCACAAGACATTGAGAAAGGTAAATTCAAGCTTATCTTCCTGGAATGTAACAGACGAGCCATGGGTTCTTTTTTAGACTCAGTCAGTGCAGCAGTGAGAAATTAAAGACCAAATTCATGCTTGACTATAACAGCTTCTAACCCAAACAGAACTGTGCTTGTCTAGCTCAAATCACAGCTTTATTAGATATAGGACTTCCACTGATTTCAATGGGGGTTGCATCTTTGTAACGGAGAGCAAATTTTGCCTCCTCAGCATCATATATTAGCCTGAAAAATTCAGGAGTGAAAAATACTGTTTAAAAGAAAGCAACAAACAAAAATAGGTGACTAGAGGGAACTGAATTTCTCCCCCTTCCCTCTGACTAACTAAGGCTATGTCTACACTAGGGACCTTACAGCGGCACATCTGTACCACTGCAGCTGCACTGCTGTAAGGTCTCCCGTATAGCCGCTCTATGCTGGGGGGAGAGAGCTCTTCCATCTGCATAATTAAACCACCCCCAACAAGCAGCGACACCCTATGTCGGCAGGAGATGCTGTCCCACCAACATAGCCCTGTCCACACCGACGCTTTTGATGGTGAAACTTATGTCAGTCGGGGTGTGGTTTTTCACACACACCCCGACCAACAAAAGTTTTGCCAACAAAAGTGCTAGTGTAGCCAAAACCTAAAATGCTGCACTGAAAAGAACCTTTAACAGTTTGATGAAGTGCATTATGGACTAATAGGTTTGGGCAAAAAACCCACCCAGTGGTTCTCAACCTGCGGCCCGCGGGCTGCTTGTGGCCCAATCCGCACAGAGCTGCGGCCCATGTGACATCCTCAGGGCCGTAGAGGTAGTATTGGATGTGGCCCACATAACACATTGTGGGCTACATATGCAGTTCACAACGGTAAATAGGTTGAAAACCACTGGGTTAGATCATATACTGGTGTAAGTGGGTATAGCTGTGCTGACATCAATGGAGCTATGCTGATTTACACCAGCTAAAGATCTGGACCATAAAGAACATTTTTGAGAGTAGTGGGTGTTTCTTCTCTTTAAGCTATCGGCATTTGGAGGATTTCTGGGTGGGTGGGATTCTTCCCATTAACTGTGGCCTTCGGAGTTTCCTGGCCTGGTATGTCACACACTAAGTCTGCAGTGAAGACATTTCCTATGTTATGGAATTTCATCTCGTTATCTTAGTGTTAGAGAATGGTAAAAAGCGGCTCTTAGTCCAGGACATATGATGTTGCATTGAACCCAGTGGTTGATTTTCTTTCCAGAGACTGTAAAGGCACTAAAGAAACACAAGATGTTGCCAGAGGAAAATCTTAAGTACGGGAACAAGGTCTTCATTCACCAGACCACTTTACAAAGAAATAGATTCCTAGGGGCTCCAGAGGTTGTGAGTGGAATATATGCGTTTGGCTGCTACCTGTGGGGGAAGACATTACCTGATGGGGGGCAAGATACCCATGGAGCCTGGGAGTTTGGAGGGTGTGAAGGACTCTCTCAGAATGGAACATCCCTACTGTCAGGGCCCCATGCATTCCATGGCACAATGGGACTCCTACATTCTACAGCAGCATTAATTTACTCCAGGGGTAGGCAACCTATGGCACGTGTGCCGAAGGCGGCACGCAAGCTGATTTTCAGTGGCACTCACACTGCCTGGGTCCTGGCCACCAGTCCGGGGGGGCTCTGCATTTTAATTTAATTTTAAATGAAGCTTCTTAAACATTTTAAAAACCTTATTTACTTTACATATAACAATAGTTTAGTTATATATTATAGACTTATAGAAAGAGCCCTTCTAAAAACGTTAAAATGTATTACTGGCACGTGAAACCTTAAATCAGAGTGAAAAAATGAAGACTCGGCACACCACTTCTGAAAAGTTGCTGACCCTGATTTACTCTCTCTCTCTCTCTCTCTCTCTCTCTCTCGTACGTACGT